CTCCTGAGTCTTTTATTAAAGTTCTCATTTTCCTTATCCCTGCTTCTCGATCTGGAACGATCCCTCTTCTTACTTTTACCCATTTTAATTCGCGAAAAACACTATCAAAATGCGTTGAGCGTACGACTTGCTTGGCACAAACAAAACGAATGAACCAAGCGGCCGCGCGCGGGGCCACGGAGCGTCCAGCCCGAGCTTTTGGAAAAAATTTAAACTTTATATTGCTTTAAAGTTTGTGACTTGCAAGGCTAAACTAACGTTACTACCTTCGTAATCTCGAAGGGCGAGACACGAAGTATAATCCCATTAATACAATCAATGATCTCGAGTGTCGGAATCGTTGCTGCGAAACGGTAAAATGATTTTGGAGTAAGTAGGAGGGAAACCAAGATAATTCAAAATATTAGTTTACAAGAAAAATTTACTGAAAAAATTTGATAGTCTAGACCGGGATTTGAAGCTGAAATCTTCCGATTATGCATCACGTGCTTTCCCAATTTAAGGTAGGGTCACAGAAGGTCACAAAAAAGGAGCCATAAGGGTTACGAAAGTCATAAGGGTCACACAAAAAAAAGGAGTGGCTAGGGTCACGAGGGTCACATGGGTGACACTGTCGTGGTTAAATGCGTTTCTTGATCGGATTTTTGTGATTGTTGTTGCAATTTTGTCGAAAAAATTCAGTCAAAAAAATCTTCAACCAAAATTTTTTCTGCAAAACTGAGTTTTAATTGTTATTTTCAGGTTGTAAACGTAATCATTGAATTGAAATGTGGAAATGTGAGTGCATGAATTTGTGTTTCAAGTATAAAAAGCTTTATGGAAATGTTTGTATGTTGAAAAATAAGGATTGAAATGTATGTATCCCAAAAAGTAATTAAGGAAATTTTTTCGTTACTTTTTATGTATTCCTGAGGAAAAATAATATCGAAAACATATGTTAAATAGTGGCGTCAAAGGAATGTTAATTTCCCTTGATTCAACATTCAGGCTCTCTTAACGTTTAAATTTGGTTTCAGTGAGGGTTTAATCAAGGTTCTATTGCGATTGAATCGGGTATCGATCCAGGTTCAATCAAAGTTTAGTCTAGATTCAGCCGGGATTTAATTAGGGTTTAGTCAGAAGTTAGTCGGGACCATGAATCAATATGAATAAAAATGCAATAAAATCGACTGATACTTGAGTTTAATAGAGGTTTTAATATAAAAAACCCTTGACGTTATTGTGTGACTTAATAAGCAATAATGTTATTATCACCATCTTTTAATTTGGTTAACAAAACATTGGAACAATTCTTTCAAGTCCTTATCGAATTAATATTAAGATGATTTTTTACTGATGAAATAACAGATTTTTTTTTCAAATCGCATAAACAATAGGTTGTAATTCAACAACGAATGGTGGGATTCCCATCATATTCTAATTGAATCAAGAGGGCATTGAAATCAATTTTTTTAAGCCATGATTAATTCCGTTTGAATAGGAATTTTTTGAGTGATGGTTAAAAAATCAATTCTTTTCTAACCCTCGAGTGGTCGCGCCTCTTCACCGAACGAGTATGATCGCACGCGAAGCGCTGCGCAGTTCGTGTATTTTCGAGTGCGACGTTGCCACAACAATTCTCCATTTACCAGCTGGGAACAGCACGAGGGCTGGCAACGTCGCTCGTCGAATTTCTACTACGACTCTGGTCGCGCAACGAGCGCAGCGCCGTTTTTCTCTCACCGCACTTCATTGAAAAATTGACACAAAAAGATTAATTTGGTGGTCGCAAAACAATAAAACTGGATTTAATGCCACGAGGACAGATTATTTGAGGAACTCCTAAATTTGCACTTCGTGATTATCGATATTTTCGTAGTTATCATGAAACAAAGGAAAAGGACTGCGCGTTGCTCATAGCGCGACCACTCGAGGGTTAATATTAATTTTGTCGAACCTTTATGAAAGGTTGAATTTTAGTTGATGTCAATTGATAAAGCATATTAAAGTTTATATTCATGAGAAAATTCAGGAAATTTGATGGATCCCCTCTATGAAAATTTCAAAAAAAAATTGAAAAACAAAGATCACATACATACATACAGACGTCATCTAAAAATCGCATATTCGGATTTTTTAAGCCATATTTAGTTGCTTTGACAAAAAAAACTGAAAACTCAAATTTGAACAATTACAAAGCTTCCTTTTGGAAGATTAATTTCCATCGAAAAGGTTAGAAAAGATTAATTTCCATCGATTCATGAGCGAGGATTTTGGAATAATAAAAAAAATATTCTTTCGATTTTCTGAGGCAAAAATATATCGATATATTACCTAAACTTGGCGTCCCGGTTATCATAATCGTCTCTATTTTGTTTCGATTTTGTAATTGTTGGAATTTACGTTAAATTTTTTTCATTAATGAAATTGAAAAATTTGTAAAAAGATGGTAGAAATGGTAGAAATGACTTTCTTGTGACACATTCGGGGTATCCAGATACATAAATTATTTATCACAAGTTTGACACTCACGCTAATGTTCGTAGTAGGCACAGAATTTTTATTCATTTTTTTCAAATTTTTAAAGATTTTGTCTAGATTTTAATCTTGTTCTATACTGGAATAGCTGATTTTCCCATAAGAATCGGTGCTATTTTGGCATTAATTAATTATTACCAATAATACTAGACTAAGAATTATGCGCTAACTTAACCAAAATGTTTCTATTCTTATCAACTTCCGTGTAGAATTTTTTCAGATTGTAATCTTTGAAATCTGAGTTATGCTTATACTATTTTAAATCTACTAACAATGTGGTATTTCATTAGTAACTGTAGAACAAACAATCATTTGTGTAAAATCTCAAATTGTACAGGCGTCTCATTTTGCCCCGCTGACCATTTCGCTTCGGTCTCCCACATTAACAAACAAAAATCTTATTACATTACAAAAACCTTATTTATTAACAATGAAATGTTTCGTACAAAAAATCACTTTGGGTAAAGAAAGAAAAAAATCTTCAATCGTGGTGGGGCACGCACAATTTTCTAGTTTTTTGGCGATTTAGCATTTTCGACTATGTGAGATAACTGACACCAAGCTCCAGAGCAATCTCAATCGAAAGAACGGAAAATTTCTGTCGGAAATACATATTGAAAATCCGAAAAAAAATTTACCTCTGCTGAGACGCAAAATTTTGTCAAAAATTGACGTTATGGGCGTAATAAAATTTGAAAAAAATTAGAAGAGATTTTTTTAGGTCTTTTGAATGTTAAGAAAGCCATATAAGAAGCCTCAACAAATCTAAATTTTTGAAGGTACAATGGTACAAAGCCATACCAATAATTGGCGAAAACACCCATTTACGAAAACTTGAAACGATTTCAATTGTGAAAACCGACAATAAAAACCCTGGAAAATAAATAATATCCTCACAAGTTGTCCCAACAATCGGACATTATTTGCGTAACGATAACAAGTTAGATTAACTACTACGTCACCCTCGATGTGTCATCCGAATGAAATTGTTGATGACCCGAGGCTTCTGCGTCACAGACAAGTGTCCAGACGACGTTGATGAGTTTAGTTTGCGTCACAGGAAGCAACATGCTGTTTTGTTGTCATGTACCACTGGCTAATAAAGTTGTACTCACCGGTGTTGACACCAACTGCCGGAGTCCGACTGCGTTGATGTTTGCAGATTCTTCACAGGCTCCAGACAAAGAAAATTTGACGAATACGTCACAATACTATTCACAACTGCTAAACTAATAATTACAACGCCATCAGGACGTTAATTTTAAATGATTGAACGTCAAAACCCGAGAAATTACACGGGGTCTTGTGGTCCTAACCTTCATGTTCACTTTTTCCACACTTGCCACGATGCAATGCGAACAATTGACTGATTGTTATGGAGCTTGAGGCATCATCGATTAGTGAACAATTGCTCATCACATTTTAGTCAATAGTTTTTGCACAAATGTATTGTAAACACTGCACTGTGGCGTCTGTCCTCGTTCAGCGGGCGCCAACCGCCATTTTGACTCAACTCCGCAGTGGTTGGATGGCGCAGTTTCACAACGGCGCTGCAATCACCGCGGGTTTATTTGAGTGACTCTCTCTAATTTTATCTTTACAATCGACTCCCACTATTAAAGAAAAAATCCTGATTAAAAGGAATAACCACCAGTTCTTTCGACATTATTTTCCTCCTAAACGAAACGTCCCGATTAAAAGGGATAACGGCCCGTAAAACCTGGAAGTTGGATGGCCTCAAAAACACAGAACGTAGAACAGTAGTAGAATAGTATTTTCTTTTGCGTCAATAAATAGGGATATTTTCTGCAATTTTTTTTGTGAAGAAAGTATTGAATAAATTGAATAAATTGTTTAGATTTCAAAACACGCGATATGTAGGAAATTTCACATTTTTATGATTTCGCTTATTTAATAAAAATTATCAAAATTGTTTTTGATAAAGGGGATAATGATGTCACACCCCCTTACAGTTCATTGTTGACTGTGCACTACTTTGGAGATAATAGCAGAGTTTCCGAGATATCCCCGTTTTTTCATTTTTAAAATTTTTTCATTCTTGTACGGACGATAAGTTGAGAACAAATGGGGATAGCAAATTGAAATTTTGTAGGATTATAGCTCTTTCAATAATGAAGGTTGGTATTTTGGATAGGTGAAACAGGCCTTGCAATTTCGGAGATATTTAACCTTTTGTATAAATCTTTTTCATTAAAAGGTTGAATATTTTTCTATAGATAACTTGTACCATGTGGTTACGGTTCTATGCCTGTCACAAGAATAGGGAATTGCTACAAATCCATTTGGAGGGTTACTACCAATGAAATTGATATAAATAAAAAAAAGAAAGGGACTAATGACGCAAAAAGTAACGGTCAGATACATACAGCCGGATAGGCTCGAACTCCTGCTTGTTTTATTACAAAAAATGCAAAAATTTGCAAATATAATTACATGAATAATCCAATAAAAGAAGAATACAATTCCGATAAATATCGTATGGTCTTTGTTTTTACGCCGAGACATTTCCTACACTTTTGTCATAAATAAATTATTGAAATGGATTATTTAGACTTCAAGAAGCTCAAGAAGTGAGAAATTCCACAGTTTTATCGTAACATTTAATTTACAACAAATCAAATTTTTTCACAGGAAGGGGGTAATGACGTCACCCCTATCACACCAATCGAATGAAAGCACGTAAAAAGTAAGCATTCATTTTTATAAAATATAGTATTTTTTATTTTTTATAAATCACGTTCTTCTGGTTTCTTGTAATCAAGTCCTAGAATCCTGAATATGGCCTCCTCACTGTCAACTGGCTCTGGCTCACCAGACACCCCTGAAGAAATAATCAAAACAATCATTATTAAAAACAGAATTATTATTAGAATAAACAGTTTTCTGACATTTTATTCTAAAATCATTCCTTCCGAGAAATATTTTATAAATTCCTTACCTTCGCTTGTTAGACGTCTCAGTGAATATTCATTCAACGTGAATTTCTTCTCCAAAGCATATGCCCTCATGTTTTGATTGAACAGATCACTTCCGGTGAAGTAAAGAACTGCACAGTAATATTGATCACAAGGACAAAGTCTTATGTCCAAACGCCGAAAAGGTCTGGATTCGTCTTTTGGGTGTCTACAAACTCCCTGAAAACGTACGCTCGAATCAATAAAGATGAATAAAATTCATGAAAAAATGGAGATTAATTTCACCATGAATTTCATTGGCCCCAGTGAAATGGTATCTTTTATAAATCCGATTTCTCTCAACCGATCTACAACGTTATTCAGGAGTTTTGTATCTTTCTTCAACTCTTTATCACTTGATGTGAAGCTTGGATGCGTTATCAAAACATCTATATCTCCACTCTCTGATTTTGCTCGTCGATAACTTCCGCATAAACTGATGATATATTTGTCGTCATATTTGAGAATCGTTTCTCGAATGATTTGTTCCAATTCCTCCATCTCAACCCTCGGAATTTTTTTCTCAAAGTCCGCAAAGTATTTCAATCCCAATTTTTGGTGGTGAGTTAGAAGGTTTTCGTGGAGGTAAAGTTCCTCCAGAGTTTTTATTCCTGAATCAACCAACTCTTTCGCTTTGGCAGGACCAATTCCTGATACTCTAGTCAATAAATTTATGGCGATATTATTTTCATCCTTGTTGATCTGAAAATTTGATGAAAAGTTTGTGATCGACTACTTTCTCCAAATTTCATAGAACGAAGCTGAGAGAAATGAACCGAGACATTTACGTAATTGTACAACATCAGACTTGAAAAATTCGATTCACGTTAGGAAGAGTTGAGTAAAATGGACCGTCTTTGGAATAGAAAAACTACGCTATGAATTCTCAGCCAAAAGGGCATGATAACATCTGGAAGACGACTTAAAAAATTTGTGCGTTTCATAGAAACCGGATGAAGCGAGTTAAGGGTAATTAGAAAAGAATTAACAATTTTTTTAAATGTTTAAAAATCCGAAGTGGGAGCGCCGCCATCTTTGCAGTCTCCTGCGACACAGGAAGGGGTGTCTCAGCAAGATGGCAGCGCCCACACCTACCAACCACCTCCTGTGGTTCAACATTTCTTTAAATTATTCATCCCTTTTAGACCATCTCCACCTGGTCTCACGCGGTTCCTAAAAAAGGAGCAAATTTTTCAAGCTTTCTGCGCATTTCAGTAGTTCCTTTTACTCCCGAGACCTATTAAAAATCTCCAGTTTTTTATCAATTGCATAAAAAATTTGATGATATTACATTTTCCAATTTCTGCAGTTTTCCAGTTGTCAAAAATTCATCAATTTTCTTAGCAATTTTTTCACCAATCCCTGGTAATTCCTTAGCTTCATCCCCAGATTTGACTCTGTGAGACAAATGCCCCAAAGTACTTGCAGCTTTTCGATAAGCATTGGCTTTATAAATATTTTTGGTGATGTTACGTTCGTAGTTAGCGAGTTCTGAAAGAATTCCCACATTTTTTATTCCGGAAAAAAGGTTATAAAACAGTCAACAGGGTATATAATACCCTCATTTACCTGTTAACAAGTCGCATAAATCGGAATTGCAGTTATCATCACTGGGTGCCTTTCGTTTACTCATTTTGAATCACAATTATTATATTTATACATAATTTGCGCTGGTAATATTAACCAATATTTTGATTACAACTTCTATACGATGTAAACAACATTGTACACATGCGCGCAATACGATGCGTCGCAGGCGTACTTGGAAGACTTCAATTAAGGGTGCCAAGTGGATTTGAAAAAAGATTCAAAAAAAATTTTTTCTTTCCCTCCATCATTGGAGAAATATGTATTCATCCTTCCGACGAAATTTCAACCCCGCAACCGGAACTAGACATAGAGAAAATAAATGCGGAAAATCCTCTATTTCGCGTGACGAACCTCGAGAAAGCATGGGATCAAATGGGTACGGCGGGTTGAAATATCTCTCTTATTCACCCCGGTACCCCATTGTTTTTTGTCGCCATCACATTGAACACATCATTCCCCATATCTTCAAATTTTTCAATTTTTTCTTGAGTTCCTAGGGGGTTGAAACGTTCAATTTAATCAAAACTCCATAAGAGGCCGTGTATAAGACTGATTTTGTTTATTTAAAAGTTCTCGATATCCATAAGTTCTAAAATTTTAAAATTGTCACCGATGTTCACCATCTGTCTAATACTATTAATTAAAAAAATAATAACTTTGTTGGTGAATGTGAATTTTCAAGGTCATCCTCAAATTCACTTGGCACCCTTAAGTACGATTTTTGCCGCATAGAAATTAATTCATGAAACTTCACATCTCATACAAGGAAATTATTAATAAGCTAGAGTCATTCCAAAGTTTTTGATGAAAAAAACAGAAAAACGTGAATATCTTGAAAACTTTGTATGAACGCGTACATATTTTTTGATTGATTTTGATAGAAGGCATCGAAATGAATATTTTGAAAAAAGAGTAAAATCTATTGTGCAATTTTGATGATATTACACAAAAGTTTTTCAGAAAAAGTCGAATATCTCCAAAACTACCAATGCGATTGATCCCATTTTTCGTCCAAATTTCAAGTTGATATTTCAATTTTTGCACAAACTAGAGTGATTACAAATTTCTTTATGAAAAGACGAACTAACGGAAATATCTCGGAAACTTTGTATGAATGGACGTACATGAGTTATTCCATGCCAAATGAATCAATGGCTGACTCTCACCCTTTTAGGAATTGATCTCGATTTTTTCTACGATTGGAGGGCTAGAAAAACTCTTAAATTTTTTCAGATTTTTTCGACAGCCCATTTCGGAGATATGATTTTTTTCTTTGTTTTTTCGTTTTTTTTTGCGATAACTCGGGTGCTATTCAGCTGATTTGTATTTAGGGTGGATCAAAATTATAAGACGATTTTGGGTAATTTTTTTTCAATCCCTAGGCACCTGCTCATAATACCAAATTTTTTTTTAAATTGAAAAACTTGAATTCTTAAAGCTATGTCACCTTTTATTTTTCTCACTTTTTTTCAGTAATTCTTATAGACAAAACAAGTATTTTGAGCCGTCATTCAAGCTGGGTTTCGTTCTAGATCTATTTTATTTTCCACTTTTTCTTCTCGAAATTCCGCGAATTTGGTTAAAATACCCCGAAACGCCTCCTATTATGCATAAAAAAAAAGTAACATATAAGTATATATTGAAATTCACTTCATACTGTTTATAATCAAAGCCAATCAACGCCATTCTGGGGTATTTTGACCAAATTGGTGGAATTTCGAGAAGAAAAAATTTAAAATAAAATAGATCAAGGACGAAACCCAACTTGCCAAAATACGTGCTTTGATTACAAGAGTTACTGAAAAAAAAGATGAGAAGAATAAAACGTGACATAATTGTGAAAATTCAAATTTTTCAACTTTTTTTTTGAAAATTCGGTATTCTGAGAGCTACTCAAAATATTCTTATAGATGGTAGAGAATAGACAATTTTCAGCCATCATAAATAAAAACCGGTTAAATAGAACCCGAGTTATTAAAAAAAAAAACGAAAAAACAAAGAAAAAATCATGTCTCCAAAATGGGCTGTCAAGAAAATCTGAAAAAAATTAAGAGATAATTTTTCTAGTCTCCTAATCGTAGAAAAAAAATGAAGATCAATTTCCAAGAGGGAACGAATCGAAACGAATATTTTGAAAACAAAAAAATGAATATCAGTCCACTAGTTTGGAAGATATTTGCAGAAAGCGATTTAAAAACGAATCGCTTTTTCTCGAAAACTCGTAGATAGATTGGGCTGAAATTTCGCAGAGTTAGCCCTCATTAAGACCTATAATCTGACAAAATTTAGGATTTTTTGGAACACTTTAGCCATTTAATTATTCAATTTTCTAAAAATTGACCCCCAGAAAGGTGGCGGTGGACATGCTCACATACAGACATGGTCACCAAACTTCGTATTTTTCCGTTTCAGACCATTCCACATCATTTCCAATCAAAATTAGAGAATGTCAAAATTGAACGATTACAATTCTTCCATTCGGAAGCAAAAAAGTTCTAGATAGAATTTTTTAAACAACAATGAACCGACGTTTGGCTAGAATTTCGACTCTAGAATTAATCACCAAGCTCTCACGTTTACTGAATTACTACTTACTATTTTTCCATAATTCCTACAATTTTACTCATAAATCTTTTTCACCACAATCTTCTCTCCAACTCATCACCTATCATAATTCTCAATAATTAGAAATAATCACACGAGAATATAAATTTTGTACGAATATATTTATTTACATCACCTTTCCTCCCAAGAAACGTTGGCGCAATTTTCATCAACTCTCTCCCCCCATCATCAATGAACAAACCTCGCAATAATTACCATAAACTTCTCCAAAATTCTCTAAAACCTAAAATACAATAATGAAGATCCTCCCACTGGACTCGTCCTCTTAGAATCCCCATAAAATAAAAAAAAGTGAAGAATAAATATCGAAGCTCCTCAATTGATGCTTGCTGGATAAGTTGTCAAATCCAGAGTGAGGACCTTGCTCTCCAGACACACCCCGACCTCAGGGCAGATCCCAATGAGAGCATCTGCATGACAGTAAAACTCCTCCTTTAACGAAATGACAATGGTCTGGAGCGAGCTAGTCTTATCCCTGATGTAGCTCGCCACCTTCCCGATATTAGTATTGTCAAGAGCAGCATCGATCTCATCCAGAACGAAGAAGGGAGCCGGTTGGAAGCTATGAATAGCGAACAGGAGAGCCAGCGCAGCGACAGTCTTCTCGCCACCAGACAAATTCGACATCGGTTGAAACCGTTTTCCTGGAGCCACACAATTGTAATTAATTCCGTCGAGATAAGGCTCTTCTGGATTCTCAGGCCCCAGGAAGGCCTGAGCAGACTGATTCTTCGCCAGGCTTTTGTAGATGGGATCAATCTCATTGGCAACGTGTTCGAAACAGGCCATGAACTTGTCGTGCCTCTCCTTCTTCACCTTCTCAAACATGGTCTTTGCCTTCTTCGCTTTCTTCCTGGACTGCTCGAACTCCTCATTAGTCTCCTGGAGTTTCTCCTTAGCTAAATACAGCTTCTGAATGGCCTTCATATTGGGAGCTTGAATCTTCTGAATGCTATTCTGCATATCCTGAATGGCCTTATTCAATTTGTCCGTTGTCTTCTTCACCTCGTCGTCCTCAATGTCCTTTAGATTATCCGACAATGAGGAATAATCAATGGTGATCCTCGCTTCCCTCTCGAACTGCTGAGTATTGTTGGTCGCCAACAAGATCGAGTCACCATTAGTGTCATTATTAGCATCCCCAGCGATGTCCTCCATATTCCCCCTGATCATGGGAATCGCAATGTCCTCGATTTTACACTGCATCAGGATGTTGTGTCGCTCCGCCTTTCTCTGCTCGATCTTACCTTCAATGCTGTTCAACTGCTTCTGAGCAGCCTGAATATCCTTAGCAATGGCCCCCACCTCCCTCCTGCACTTTCCAATCTCCTCCTCCTTCTGATCCACCTCCATCTTCTTGGTGGTCCTCAGGGATTTCAACTCCTCCATCTGCGCCTCATCGTTCTCGATCTCCGATTTTTGATTGGTCTCAGTCTGCTTGGCAGACTCTAGCTTGTCCTCTGCGTCCTGCACGGCTCTCTCCCACCTGAAATTTTATGATTATGAAGCCTTTTCATAGAATTTTAAATTAGGAGGAGGCCACCCTGGAATTTCCCTTGCTTCGCATTAAACCAACATTTTTCGGGAGCAAAATACCTATGGGAGTTTCGAATAATAAAGAAGTTGTGCTAGAAATGACATTTTCTTACTTGCACACACGATGCAAATTTTTTGCAACTAATAAATCTATTTTTGCGACAAAAATTTTTCATCTCAAGGCAGACTGTAAATTGTCCGCACTAGATCTGATTTTTGTGCCAATTTTCAAACAGCAATTTTTTTTATTCAAGCAAGACTTGTTTGAAGAAATGGTTATTTTTCTCTCAGTGCACTACTACTAGGGTGAGCAGAGCAATTTTGTAGTGAAGTGGTAAACTAGGATAAGTGAATTTTTTTGGAAAAATGTTCTATTCCTTGAATCGAAAGTTCTCTCAAGCGTGGTTAAATTTTTGAACTCTTCCCAAAAAGTTCCATTTTTGCCCTCATCCTAGTTTATCATTTCGCTACGGAATTGCTGGACGGTGAAGAAAAATCCAATTTTCGTGGTAGGATCTAAAATAAAAGGACCACCTAAATGGGGATATGATGGCTTCCATACCTTCAATAATGTTATAATTAGCAGAAAAACATTATTTGAAGTGAAAATAACACAACAAAGGATAATTAAACTAAAAAATAGTTGAATACAGCCGAAACCTCTATTTTCTGGACGACTGGGTCATTTTTTTTTATTTAGTAAGTGTCGATCAATGGAAAAAATGATCACATGATTATAGACGAATAATATTCTTGAAAGGTGAAATAATCAGTACAATTGCCATTTTATTCATGGAATACTCAATGCAAGTTGAAATCGTCCAGAAACTAAACCCCGCCCAGAAATTGACCTGGTTATCCTAATACTCCTATTACCTGAGAACATTGCTCTCTGTATCCCTCTGCTTCTCAAAATCCAGTTGATTATATATCCTGTTGCACTGATTCTCAAATTCCATCCTCTTCTTAGCTCGTTCCTGCTGCGACCGAAGTTCCCTCTCTTCGTACTGACGTATATTAGTGACCCCAATCTGCTCGCAGAAGCTCGCGAAGACATCATCTTCAACGTTATTCATCTTCTCTTTGATGTTCTGGATCTCCTGATCGCGTTCTGCCATTGTCTTCTCAATAGCTGCGATCGTGGGAACAAACTTGTCGAGTTCAGTCTGAAGAGCTTCCAGCTCACTCTCCAATTCGTTTATCTGCTTCTTGGTGGCAGCTAGATCACTCTTGTTGTATTTCAACCTAGTCTCCAACCCTCGGATTTGAGACTCGATTGTGTTTAGTTCTGATTCCTTCCTGGATTTCTTCAAGGATTCTCTCAGTTCCTCTGTGAGTTTCTCCTTCTGGGATTTGAGCTGCGCCATCTGCTTTTCGTCCCAGCGTTTAGCTTTCTTGGCGAGATCGAGGGATCCTCCGGAGATTATTCCAGCTTTCTGGTAGAAGGTGCCATCCAGAGCTACGCAGTCGAACCTGAACCAAACGTAAGTTTTTTTTATATCATGTTTTTCAATTACTTCATTACACCGTCTTCACACTGAGAAAAGAAAACTTTCGTCAAGTGATTTTGCACTTGTCCTCAAGTCGAGGACAATTTTTTTATGACAAGAAAGTGTTCTCTCAAACCAAGTCTAGTGGAATCAATTTAGTCGATAGTTTTCTTGTCTCGAATCCAAAATGTTTTTATGCAAAAAACCATTTGATCTGGTTTGAGAAGTCGCTTCTTTATTATGAATCAATTGCCCTAGTTTCTCGAACAAGTACAAAATCTCTTGACGAAAATTGTTTTTTGTTTGCTCAGTGTAAGCTATTTTGCTCTTGAAAATTTTCAGGCATAAATTTCTTGATTGAAGTGAAGATACACTTCTCAAAAAAGTTTTTTCTCCGTGCAGACAATCTTTTAAAAAATAATAATGTATGAAAAATCTGTAAGCTATCCTTCTATAACATGTCAAAAAAATGTAAATATATTGATAAAATTATTACATAATAATAATGCGATAAAATTTTTGGTCTTCAATTTGTAATTTTTGCAATCCATTGCCATTTAGGTAATTTTTTTTTAGTTCTTTCCGCCCTCTTTTTTGCATTATTTGAATTTCTTCTCACTGAAATATTGATATAATACCTCTAATACTTGACGAAAAAATGTGATTCGAAGTTCACACCGACATCAAAGAAGAAAAAAAGACGTTTTCTAACCGATTATACCTTCATGATTCTTTTCCCATTTCCTTTTCATAATAATAATTGGAATCCGACCATAGGAATGAGGCAATATCCTTTTATCATATGGGGGAAAAATAGATTATAAAAATTTTCAGGAATACATGGAGAGATTTTTCTATTACCCGAAAGAGATTTCGAATGACTTTTGTTTTGTGTTTGTTTTCATCACCAAAAACGCTTTTCATTAATCTTTAACATAATGCCTCTCCATTCAATATTGTTACTTGTGAATTAAGGAAAAAAAATATAATAAGAATAAGAATGGATAGAATTAAATTAATCTAATTGTAAAGATGGAGATAGAAAGAAAATAAAGTAAAATAAAATAGTATAAATTAATCTTATATTATATTTTAAAAAAGATGTCGTACCTGGCCTTTTTGTCCATTTCGTAAGCGACTTTGTTGGCGTCCTCTGGCGTCTCGCAGACCAGTGCGTTATTTGTAGCGAAGAGGACAGCCCTCTCGATATCCTTCGGGGAGAAGTGCAGGACATCATAAAGAAGCTTCACCCCTTTGGGCTCTTGGATGTTTCGAAGACGCTCTTTGAGGGGTTTCGCCTGGATGTAGTCCAGGGGGAGGAAGGTTTCCGGCTCCAGGTACTGCTCCTTCAGGTACTGGATGCACTGCCTAGCTGTCTTTTCAGTATCCACGACGATAGCCTCCATGTACTTCCCAAGGACCTTCGTGATTGCCACGTTGTAACGCTTGTGGATGGGCTCGCACATGTTGTACATGCGATCGTAGACCCCTGGGAAGAGTCTCTTAAAATTCTCGACGATCTCAGTTTTCTTCTTCGTACGAGACACCTCGTGTTTGTCGACTTTGGCATCCCCCAGCTGCTCAGAAATCCTCTCTAGTTCTCTTTGGAGATTCTGGATCCTGTCCTTGGAACTGCCGACGTCCGACTGCAGCTCCTGACGCAGTTTCTTCTGGTCCTCGAGGGCGGCCTCAGACGTCCTAATGTGCTCCTCCAATTTCTCGACACGCTTCAAAGCTTCATCTCTCATGTGCCCTTTTTGTTTCAGTTTGTTCTCGATATCAGTTTTTTTACGACTCTCGTTGTCGAGTCTGTCCTGATCAGATTTCTGCTCTCGATTTATTGAATCCAGCATCTGGAGGTAGCGAGCTGATTGCCGACCGGCTTCTTCCTTCAGGCGGTTGTACTCCTTCACCTGTTGAGAATATAAAAATGCATTGATCTATTTCTTTAAATTTGATACACAATTCGTCTGATTAAGAGAATGTATTTTTAAATTGATTGATAAATGAATTTTTGGAGAATGATTTCACGATTTGGATAGATTATGGGAATCTGTGAAGGATGTGATTAAAGTTTCTAGATTAGCTGATCAGGTCAAATAAATAAAACAATTAAACGTGCCCGAAGTAAAAAAAATTAATGAAATGAGAGGAAAACTTTGGACCATGAATTCTCAGTCAAGAGGCGATGGGAAAATCTGAAAGATAACTTGAAAATTTCTTCTTTTCATAAAAACCGAATGAAGCAAGTTGAGGGTGATCTGAAGCGGATGAATTAGTGTGGGAGATGTTTAAAAACACGAGGTGAAAGAACCACCATCGTTGATTTCCCCAATTTTTTGGTGAAGCTCAGAAATTTCCAGAATTTTCTAAAAAATATGTTTCTCAATTTTTTTTAGGCAGATTTTTCAAAAAATTTGGTAGAAAACCCGCTAATTTTCATGAATGTTCCAGCAAATTTGAGACTTTTCTTGAATTTCTCCCTAAACTTTAGAAATTTTTCAATTTTTTAATGTTTTTTTTATTTTTTTAGTTTTTATGTTTTTATGTCAACAACTTTTTTTCCATATTATAGAAAATTCAACAATTTCCTTGATTTTTTTTTGTAGAAAAGTAAAATTTTCTTTAACACCGCTATTTTTTTTTTCATTTTCTAAAAAACGACAATTTTTTCCCATTTATTCAGAAAATTGATCAATTTTTTTCGATTTCACAGAAAAGCAGAGTTTTCCAGGAAATTTATCACTACTAAAAAGAAAATACTTTTATTGTTTTTTGTGATATTGATCAAATTATTAGAGACATCCCAACGCAAAGAAAAATAATCCTGAATATATTACTGATATCGTTAAAATACTGAACATTTCTTTGAATATGATTTATATAAAAGAGTAATAAGAATCAATATTAAAAATATTATTCATTGTAAAAGTAATGAAAATTAATGCAAAAAGTATCATTGATTCCCAAAGCAATGACAAATGATTTGATTCGTAAGAGTATTACCCATTGGCAAAGTCATAGATAATATTGTTAAATTAATTATTATTGAGATGTTATTAAATGACTGATAATATAATGAATTAAGGCCCAGATGGATCATCTTTCGAACTTTATCTCGATTGTTTTTGCATCTTCATAATCTAAAATATATCATAATTTCCACTGGGTTTTATATCATGTAGGTGTCCTTAAGGGTATTATAGCGGGGTCCATAGGTGGAAAAAAAAGCAGAGAATTCAATGAAAATTGCTGAACAGATTATTTGATCCATTTGAAAGCCGTGTGCAAAATGTCAAGATCCCTACTTAAACAATAATAATGGGAATAATTTTTGAAGTTGCTACTTTTACACGCGGTTGAATGGGGCATCGGTAATTTTTGTAAATTTCCTACGTTATCGATAGATCAATAACGTAGGAAAAGCACTAAAATTACTGATGCCCCATTCAACCGCGTGTAAAAGTAGCAACTTCAAAAATTATTCCCATTATTATTGTTTAAGTAGGGATCTTGACATTTTGCACACGGCTTTCAAATGGATCGAATAATCTGTTCAGCAAGTTTCATTGAATTCTTTGCTTTTTTTCCCAGCTAAGGACCCCGCCATAATACCCTTAAAAATTATGATTGCACAATCAAAAAAAGCAGAAAAAACTGAACATTTTCAAAGAGCGTTTCAATAAAGAATAGGAAATAAGTGCGACAGAGAAGAAATTGTAAATGGATAATTTATCATGGCAACTAACGATTTGACAGACATTGGCTACTAAGACAAATGACGGTTAAACAGCCATTAGATATTGTCAATTATTAATTTGCAATTTCCTCCCTATTGAGTTTATTTCCCGATATTATTACCAAAATTCTCTTTGAAAATGTCCATTTTTTATCAGCGTTTTTTTGATTGTGCAATTATAATTTCTGGAGACTTCAGGGCTATATAAAACTGAATAGCAATTGGAGATCATTTCAGATTATCAAAATAAAAAAAACAACCAAGATCACGTGCGAAAGATGATTGACCCGGGCCTGAAATGTGCCTATCCCTAATCATAACTTCCTCATGTCTGCCCCAATGGAATCTACCTGTTCATCCTCAAGCTGAACATCTCGTCCCTGCGACTGAGATTGTCCCGCAATGCTGGCTTCATAAGCAGCTTTGGCTTCCTCCACCTGACGAAGCTCCTCCTGCAATTCATTAATGTCCTTCTTATGGGCCTCATCAGCAGTCCTAGCTTGCGCCAGCGACTTCCTAGCAGACTCCACCTTCTTCAACATATGGGCAACTCGTTCCTTAGCCTTTATGAATGTCGGTCTCTTCTTCGTAATCTCCACTTCGACCTCACGAATGTCCTGCTCGATCTTGGCTAGCTCTCGTGCCAGCTTGCCGGCCTCCTTCTTCTTCTCCTTGAGCGTCTCCTCGGCCTTCTCCTTCTTCTTCTCTATCTTCTCCACCTCGTGCTGCTTCTTCTTGTGTGTGTTCTCCAGATTCTCAATCTCACGCTCGTTGTGGTAGAGGCGGAACAACTGGAGCTCCACCTGCTTCTCCACGTACTCCTCCTTCAGCCGTTGGTACTTTTCAGCCTCTTCCTTCTCCAATTTAGCTTCCTTCCTTTCAGCAGCAAATCCCTTCTTCTTTTGGTACGAGAACTGCGTCTCCTCCTCAGCGCGAAGCATTTCCGTCCTGAGACGTTCGTATTCTGATTTCAAGGCTCCAGAGTTGGAGATCTCCTCGAAGAGGGCTGTCCGCTCCTTCGGGTTCTTCATGGCAATAGACTCCACAGCCCCCTGGAACACCAGGAAGTTCTTGGCTTTGACATTGATCCCCAGGTGCTCGAGTTCGGTGAGGTACACCTGGGAGGTGACCATCGAACCGTTTATCCGGTGCTCTGAGGACGATCCCTGGACCGATCTCATGAAGGACTTCTCGGTGCCGTCCTCAAGCTCGAAGACAGCTGTGACCGAAGCACTTCGGGACACTGGCTTGCCGATCGACGCCCCGTGGATCAACTCACTGAAGCGCTTCACTCGAAGGCTGCTCGTCTTCTCGCCCATCACGAAGGATATCGCGTCCATGAAGTTCGATTTACCTGGGGATGAGAAATTTGTTGATGATTAGGGGCTGAGGGGGGCGCAGGGGGAACGCTTGGGAACATAACCAACCTGACCCATTTGGACCGACCACCGCGGTGAACGACTTCAGGGGGCCGATTATGAGCTTGCCCTTGTAGGACTTGAAGTTCTCGACCTCGATGTGTTTGAGAAACGCCGGCATTCTGCCGAGTTTATCGATTATCACTGGGGATTATGAATTGGCGCCACAAATTTCGGGATCGGGACATCAACACAATTGGAAAAGCCAAACAGAAATAGTGTGAAGGTGGTTCTGGGTCGAGGGGGGTAGTTGGTATGATTGGGGGCGCTGGGGTGTGGGGGCTGGCGCGAAGGTTTGAATGGGCAGAAGCATTTCTAAAAAACTTCGTCAAAAAAAATGTTAAGGACCGGGTGGATTATCTTTCAAATATGATCTTGGTTGTTTTTTTCATGTTAATAATCCGAAATGATCTCCAACTGCTATTCAGTTTTACATAGCCCTGGACTTTCCAAAAATGATGATTGTAGACATTTTCAAAGAGCGTTTTTGAATAATATTGGGAAATAAACCCAATGGGGAGGAAATTGCAAATTAATAATTTTATGTATTTAATGGCTGTCAGATCGTCAGTTACCACGACAAATTATCCATTCACTATTTCCTCTCTATCGAACTTATTTCTTAATCTTTATTAAAAATGCTCTTTGAAAATGTTCAGTTTTTTCTATTTTTTTTTTATTCTACAATAATAATTTTTAGGGACTCCTGCGTGATGATGTAAAATCCAATACAAATTGTGATATACTTTACGTTATGAAGACGGAAAAACAATCGAGATAACATTCGAAATATACTCCACCCGGGTCTTAAATCAACTTTGGGAAAATAAACTTTTGGTTAATTCAACTTTTGTCAAATTAAACTTTCGCCAATGAAAACTTCCGGTTATCTTATCTTTTGTGAGGATATAAGTAAAACATGTCTTTGCGTACGGAATTCTAGAGTTTTGTTATCTATTTTATTCTGGTTCCGTGTGAAAAGAATAATCGATATTTCTCTTTTATTTAATTGAAATGGTATTTTCTGGAGAGGAGGAACTACTCTGAAGTATTTGAGAGGGATTGGTTCGGATGTTGCGCTTTAAATGACTGATTATTTGTTAAATTTCGTAGTGTTGTGGATATGAATAGTTGTGGTATTTATTTCGACATGCTTATGAATTTGTGTCAAATCCCTTGTTATTGAGACTCCATGTTGTTTACTCCACTCTGTTTACTCTACTTTTTTTTTCTTCATTTTGCTATTTTTGTTCGTGGGTATCCATTGAAGCGTTGTTAATGCTCTATTCTAGTGTTTTTTGCATTATTTTCCTGAATTAAAAAAACAAAAAGATCTCAAATTTTTCGAAGTTCAAACTGTTCAAGTTTTTTTTCAAGTTTTTAAAATTATCAAGTTTTTATGACGAAGTTTTTAAAATATGAACCCGAATGGGCTTCGAAATGCGAGAAGAATGAGGAATAGACTTTTTCATCCTGAGAATTACTAGATTTTCGGACGCTCTCAATGAATTTACATATAAATCATCATGTTTTAAGGGAGAAATGTATATCCTCTCCAATGTCAATATCTATCAGAATTTCTCATCATTTTTTTCGAAGATTATTCCGGTCGATGAAGAGAATAAATATTTTCCCTAAATTTCCAGAATGAAAAGATTCATTCTATTTGTGAGAATTCTACTGTTATAAAAAATGGCAGTTTCGTGAAGTTGCTTCATATCAACGTTTGTTTTTATTGTGTCAAAAATACATTATTAAATGATCATAACTTCTATATGCCACCTGGGCATCCCTCACGGTTTACAAACAAAGACACAATGTCATATTCAGCAAATATTAAAGTCACAATTAGAAGTTCTATCAGTCAGTAGATTATTCGCCCACTATTCTTCTCACGATCTCTACAATAAAAAGCAGAAATTTAAAAGCAATTGCAAAAGAAAATTATAGGAATAGTATCTTATGTCATATGGCGATAAAAGTATTATCTGACAAATGTGGGTTTCGCCAGGTAATACTTTTATCGTCGTGTGACATACGATATTTTATGTCCTTGGGCCCGAAAACCTCGCCTCGCTTCGCTCGGTTAGATCGCGGTTTTCGGGCCTAATGACATAAATAGTTTTATATTCAAGACATTTTATAATTTTCCTACATTCGCATTTTAGAGTCAAAATGAACTGGCGGGTGTTGGTGTTTCAGTTGGCAACAGTCAAGTTGAAAAATTAGTCTCGACAACTTCAGGGGAGCTACAAAAATAAAAAAATCGTTAGAATATTCAAAATAAATTTCTTGATGTTCTCCATGTATTGCATGTATTGCGAGTGATTCATGTGGTATTTTAATGTAAAGACAAAGTACGCAAATCATCTCTTTAATTTTTATTGTTCAATTCCTCAATTTTTCCCTAATGATTCTGGGTTTTTTCCTGTAGAGATATGCTGGAAGGGAGTGAGAGCATGATGAGTTCAATAACGACAATGGAGAATCCTGATGTCAAAAGTCATCACCCGGCCAGGAGATATGACGAGAACAATCAGAACGTCGAGAACTCCTCGCAGGAAAAAAAACAGTGGACTTTGTCTGATTTTTCCATGGGGAAGAAAATCGCTCAGGGGTCATTTGGAATTGTGTATTCAGCGAAGGAGAAACATCAGAATGTTGTCATTGCCATTAAGGTTCTGTTCAAAACTGATATTAAGAAGAGGAATCTGAAACAACAGGTGCTGAAGGAAATTGAAATCCACTCTCATCTAAAGTAATTATCGAATTTATTCCTGATTTTTTGTTATAGGAAAATCTGTTTCCAATCATCAAGTAATAATCTGGGTAATGAATAATTCCAGTATAATGCATAATTCAGTATACAAAAGCACCAAATTTTTCCAATTTGTTTAGAAGACTCAAAAACTTTTTCACGTGTACTAGAAAATCCAACAATTTCCTTGAATTTCTTTTGAAAAAGTCTCGAATTTCTCTAACACCGCCAATTTTTTTTTAATTTTCTAAAAAATCGAGTTTTTTTTCACATTTATTCATAAAATTGGTGAATTTGCTTCGATTGTTTAGAAAAGCCGAGTTTTCCAAAAAACCGCTGAAAATTGAGAGGAAATTTATCACAACGAAAGAGAAAATGTTTCTATTGTTTTTTGTAATATTGGTCAAATCATTAGATAAATCTCATGGTCAAAATATTAGATAGAACTCTCATTTAAATTAATTATCGAATTTATTCCTGATTTTTATTATAGGAAAATCCATTCTCCTATAACAGGAAGAAATGTTACAGAAAGTTTCCGTAGAGAAGAAAATTTCCTACAAACTTGATCTTTTGACATTTTCTCCTCGAACAACCATTTATGAAAATAATTCATTAAAGTATTCATTCGGATGTCTTTGAATATTTCCTTTTAGCATTATTCGTTATCGCGATGATTGATGGAAGGGATTGTGTGATTTTTCTTTATTATTCATTGAAGTTGAACATGAAATATTCGTTAATTTCGTCGAGTATCTGACGGATGAGTAATTTTAAGGCAAAACATTAAAAGACATTTCGGTAAAGAAGAAAATTTTCTAAAAATATCTCTCGACGTTTTTAGATTTCGTCTATTCTTCATTCAATTTGAAAACAAAATCTTCATTGATTAGTTAAGAGGAGACTACTGTGGGTTTTAAAAGTCGCGGGCTATTGGAATGAGATTTCTCATACATTGAAGATCGATTGTATATGTCTGAAAAGGAATAATTAGTACCAAAAAAAATTGTTTATTGTTCGTTTGCCCCGCAGACGCTTAAAATGTTAACAATAGTCCAGGGCCTCCAATTTTTGAGCTACAGAGGTTTTTTTTTTCAATTTTTGAAAATATACGTGCAATAACATTTACGAATTAGTTTTTTGAAATTCAATTCCTACACAGCTAATTTCGCTATTTGTTTAATAAAAAAATTACACCATTCTAATCTAAATAGAATATATTTTTAATATTTTAAGGATAGGTTTTCGTCTATTCTACATGAATTGCGCCAATTTTTATAATAAACAACACGAAATTTGCTGTGTAGCATCGAATTTCAAAAAAATAATTTATAATTCTTGTTGTACACATTTTTTCAAAAATTTTGAAAAAAAACCTCTGTAGCTAAAAAATTTTAAATGTCTGCGGGCCAAACGAACAATAAACAATTAATTTTTTGCGTAAATTTTTCGTTTTTAGACATATACTAGGGGGACATGTACTATATGACCTCATATGACCCCCATGTGATCCCCATATGACCTCCACGATCCTTACTTTGACCCTCGTGACCCTTATTTTGATCCTTAATTTTGGAGTCTTAATTTCGAGTAGCACATTTTCATCACCAGAAGTCAATTTTGATAATATAGAGATATAATCGATCTTCAAAGCATGAGAAATCTTACTTCATAGCTATTTTTAAAACTCATAGTAGTCTCCCCTTAATTATCCCCGTATTTTCCAAGCCCAACGAAAAATTACCAAAACATTGAAATAAAATGATCACATATATAAATATTCTCCAGGCATCCCAACATCCTGAGGATGTACGGTTGGTTCCAAGACGAAAAACGTATCTACATGGTCATGGAGCTGACCCCCTCGGGTGATTTACTAGCCAGAATGCAGTTAGAGCCCTGGAAGAAGTTCAGTGAGCCAGTGGCAGCCTCTTACCTGAGGGAGTTGACAGAGGCTATAAAGTACATCCACAAGAAGCAGATAATCCATCGGGACGTGAAGCTGGAGAACCTCCTCCTAGACAAGGACGATGTCCTCAAATTGACAGACTTTGGGTGGGCTGTCCACACCCCTACCTGTGAGTCCTTCAGTGATTGTGGAGTAAGAGAGAACATGGCTCCTGAGATGCTTCTCAAAAAACCTTACGATTATGCTGTTGATGTTTGGGGGATTGGAGTCGTTGGCTTTCAGATGATAGCTGGAGTCTTCCCGTTCTTTGGACGAGATAAAGACGAACTTGTAAAGAGAATTACGAATGTTGGGATTGTTTTCCCAGATGAAAAGTATTTCAGTGATGATGCTCGTAATTTAATTTCAAAGGTAATCATTATTTATTCATCTAGGGGAGAATGTGGCAGAATGAAATATGGAGCAAAATGAAACAGCCGAAAAGCCACTACTGAACACAATTCAAGCGAAAAAAATTTTTTTTTATCAACTTTTGTTTATTAAATTTTTTTTATTATTGGAAATACCGATGAGAATAATAATGTTCTGTTCGGTAGAAAAGAACATGCGGTGCGAAAAAATCACTGATATTCGAAACCCCTTACATAACGTATCAACTACCTCCACAGATGTATCGCACTCCCCTGTTAGATCTCGATCTCAACGTCCACTAGTCAGCTTGTCCCCTGACTCTTCAGCAGCCAAACTAAGACCTCGTCATCGCTGAGTCTATGTTCTCTCCTCATTCGAAAATCCCGAAATTTTCTCATACATTTCTTATATCGAGACGACAATATTCATAATTTTCATTATAATTCAATTGATTTGATTAGGGCGATTACACTTTTCTTTTTTCACTCGATTGAAATTCAGCATCACATTGTCCTTTTTCACCCTCTGGGCCTCCCCCTGGGCCTTCCTTTGAACTTTGGATTTAACTGTTGCTTTTTCTTTTCAATTAATCCATTGACAAAATCTCCTCCCGTCAAAACTTCTCAATAATTTCCCTGTTTACTGAATGGAATAATAACGTCTACTGAACGAAACAATTTGAGAGGAAAATATTTTCAATTGGGGGATGTGGAATATGATGAGATGATTTGATACATTTTATTTAAAAAAAATATATTAATTTTAATAAAATATCAATATTTTTAAAATATTATTTATGAAATTATTTAATAACTGATTTAAGGTGAAAGGGATTGTATTTTTCTCTGCAAAAAGGTCTCTCAACATTTATTTACGGAAGTGCTTATGAGATGAAGGAACAATCAGCAAGAATGTAAAATTTACATCGTACGATGAATAATTATATTTGTATTCTCTTTTTCAGCTTATTGTCCTCGATCCAAACGAGAGGCTCACTCTGGATGAAATAACAAATCACAATTGGATTGTGAAGAACCGATGAGTGTGAATATTTTATTGATGATGATCCAAAGAATGTTATTTAGTGTGTGATAAGTAATAAAGGCAACTTTTTCTACTCTGTCCAATTGTAATTATTAGACCACTCTGGAAGAAATAATAGATAAATGCATAATCAACAACGGAAAGCCTCCAGAAGCATCACATTTGATGATTATAAAATAATCTTGTTGGTAACCAATTCAGACATTGTACATTACATGCCCGAGCCTTGGAAAACAGATCACCGTCCCCCACGTGCAAGATTGCCTTCCTAGCTGAAGGCGAGGATGGCAAGCACGTGAGGGAGGGAGGGTGCTATATTTTCCATGGCGAGGTGTGTATATTAATTTTCGTGTCGAGGGAAAAAACATTAAGAGCTAAAAGAAAACTCTCGACATTTTCTACACCGAGAGAGAAATAAACACGTTGTCAAACAAGTCTTTTTTGGGCCAACAAAATCGCTAGCTGAAAATTGCCAAAAAAAGAATTTGTTTGGTTCGAATTTGAAAGTCTCAAACATAAATAATTGTTGTTATTTTTGGGACAAAAATTTTTCATTCCGGCGCACTCTTTGCATGTTTAGCACAAAAAAATCCTTTTTTGATAATTTTCAAAAAAACTATTTTCTTGGTACAAGTAAGACTTGTTTGAGAACTTTGTCGTTTTTCTCTGAGTGTAGTGAAAAAAACTAACGAAGTAAACCAATAACACGGGTCAACAAAATTTGGAGGTATTCGATATCGAAAACGAAACCGACCCCATCTTATAGATATTTGAATGCTGATTTTAAATTTCTTTTTAGAAATCTTTCTAGCACATCTAGTTTTCGACAAAAAAATTTTGAAATGTTGAAAAATGATTAAAATGAACAATTTGAAAGAATGGTAAAAAAAGGAATTTGCACGTGGTTTTTCCCGGAAAAAAATATGAATTAATGAAAATGCGATTTGTTTAGTAGATTCGATTTCATTCCAATTGGTGGAGTCAAAACTAGTGAAGAAAATCCTGAAAATGTCCCAATTTCATGATTTTTCGTGTGAAATCAAATGATCGGAAGTTGGTTGCACAGACTTTGATGCACGCCAATTTCAAATCTACCTATATGCGTGTGTTAACCTCGACTTGACTTAACATGAAGTTTGAAGATGCCTTTCCGGCAAGTTAACCGGCTAATTGTTCTTATGAGAAGTCACCCTCAATTGTGGACAGATTTAGTTGCTGAAATCAAGTTAAAAAATGAAGACGTTAATGCACAAGGTTAAGACACGCGTGTAGTTAAATTTGAGATTAGCATGTATCAAAAAAGTGCACAACCAACTTCTGATCATTTGATTTTACAAGAAAAATTATAAAATTTTAGGATAAACCCAAATGCAAACAAATAGCATTTTCATTAATTCATTGTATTTTTTCCAGAGCAAAATACGTCCAAATTAATTTTTTTATACATTTTTTAAATTGCCTTTTTCAACCACCTTTCAATACTTCAACATTTTTTTTCACGAAAACTAGACGTGCTGGAACAATTTTCCAAAAGAAATTTAAAATCAGCATCAAAATATCCATAAAATGGGGTCTCTCTCATTTTTGAGTTCTACGACGTCCGAATTTTGTCGCACGGTATAAATATGAAGAATTGGGTTGTTGCATGGATTTTTTTCAAAAATAAAAGGACAAAATATGGAAATGGCCTGAAAGATATCACATATTTATATTGTTATTATGAAAAATTGAAAAATTCACATCGAAATTCACATTTTTAATTGTGTATAACTCGTTGAGTTAACATTATTATCCACTGAAATGAAAAAAAGAATTCATGCAAACCCTCATTTCTCACATCCCATCCGTTTCAATGTAATCAAACTTATTCAAACAATCATCTCTTTTTCTCAAAAATCCAAAAAATTCTTTGCTCTATTCAACCTTAAGGATATTCAAGTACTTTGGCTATTTTTTCTCCAGTGAAATGCTTTTCTACTTTTGTAGTCGAACATCAGAGCTTTCATTTGAGCGTCATTTGATTCTAAGTTTCCGGACCTTTTATAATGATTTTATTATTCAAACTGAATTGGCATCTCCATATTGAACCGTTAGAAAACATTTTAAAAATCTTTAAAAAAAATTAAGAAGTTTACTTTTGGGGGAATATTGATAAAACAATTTAAAAACTTCAATTTTTTAAAATTACGAGCATGTTCTATAAATAATTTATGGACAATAAATTGTCCACCATAAAAATCATTTGTTCGGAATTGTAACAAATTTATTCATATTCAGAATTTTAGCAGAAATCGATTTCATGCCTTAAAAAATTAGGTTTCCGAAAGTTTAGACAATTTCAATTATTTATTTATAGAAAATGAATGTTAAAAAAATGATAATTCTGTGCAAAATTGAATTATAACGACGCTGATAACCCATGATTTCTTTCAAATTTTTGTAAAGGATACTTGGACATCCTTAAATCCTAATCCTCCAAAAACTCATCAAATATATATACTATATAATTGTCCTATGCAGCAATAAAAAAATTGCTGCATAAACTCGGAACTATTGCATCCAATCACTTCTTTAGCGGGAGACTACTATGAGTTTTAAAAGTCGTGGATTATTGCAGTGAGACTTTTCATATCGCGTATCTAAAATTAAAAGGTCGTATGTGCCAAAAATTGCCTTCCTCGGCAAAAGGTCGTATCTGCCAGCATATACAACTTTTTGCTTTTAGGAAACCGATCAAAGTGACCCCAAAAAATTAAAAATTAAATATCTCGAGTTTAGTTATCAATGGAGAAACGACCTTTTACTTTTGATGAAGTTAGAAAAATGTCTCACCTAAAGCGAAAAGGTCGTATATCCAATTTTATATTTTTATTTATTTTATTTTTAACGAAATTTGTTGCAAGTTCGAGAACTTGTAACTGGTCATCGCCCGAGGGCCTTCAGCCAAGACCAATTTTATATTTTGTTTGCACTTTGATATTTCCATCTTTTTGAAAAAGTTTCGTCCAATTTTACACATTTCTCATTACAGAAATTAGAATATCCTCCTAGCCATTGAGAGAATGAGAAATATAATTTCTTTATCCGTCGAATAATCATGCGCTCATGAATTCAAGATTGTCGATCATAGTCTGAAGAACTTTCAAATTCCCTCGAAACATGGTTCAGCATACACAGATAGAAAACGGGGATTGGCTTTAGAAAAAAGTTTCTAAATTCTAGAAACCGCGGTTTCTAACGTTCAGTTTTCTAAAATCTAGAAGTTTTTTCTAAGTTTTAGAAAAAAATTGTTTAAAATTAATTCCCATTTCGATCATTAATTGTAAACGCTTTTTTTCTAGCTTCGTTACTAAATATACTTGATTTTAGAAAACAAAATTTCTAAAATGTAGAGAACTTCTTTCATTCTTGCAGGGGCATTTTGCAGGGAGGGGGAGGAGGGATTGTGAATTGAGAATTGACAACCAAAAAAATTGAGTCAGTGAGTTTCCAAGAATATCTCCAAAACTAAGGGAGATGGCGAATTTTTGCGAAAATTGTCGGGTGGCGNGGAGATGGGGAATTTTTGCGAAAATTGTCGGGTGGCGCGATGGGGACAGGGGGGTGGTGTACATTTGACAACCATGCGCAGAAACAATGAGTCGGTGAGTTTTATAAAAATATCTCCAAAACTAACGGAGATAGCGAATTTTTACTGAAAATTTGGAGGAGAGGGAGGTTTTATGGAATTCTCGATGTACACTCCCTCCCTTCCGCAATTTTTCAGTAAAAATTCGCTATCTCTCTTACTTTCGAAGATATCTTTGAAAAACTCACCGATTCAATTTTTTTGGTTGTGAATTCTTAATGCACAACCACCCCCCCCCTCTCTGCCGTCTTTTCAAAAACCCCCTTCCTCACATCTGAAATTCCCGATATTTGGGGACCCCTCACTATGTATGCGGCACTTAGGCCCTTTAAATACCTCGGGCGTAATTTTTTAGTTCAATCTAAAAATTTTCTAAAATTAAGAAAAATTCAGCATTGCTTTTAGAAAATTTTTGTTCTTAAAAACAATTTCCAAAATCCTTAGTTTTTCTTATCCCATCAAGGATAAAGCTTAAGAATTGGAGTTTCGAAAATCGAGAAACTAGTTTCTAAAGCTAATCCACTTTTGTTTCTCTGTGCTTTACCTGCCTCTCCCATTTAACCCTCGAGAGTACACGGGATTCTTCCGATCACTGCCCTGATGGACCCTTAAAAATAAAGATCGCTTCAGTTCCCTAATTTAGATTTTTTTTTTAGATTCGTTCTTTTGTTACGAATACGTAATACACAAGCGTATCTTCAAAGAGGTATACAAGGGGTGATTAGTGCACAAAAAATGTTTAGAAAATAGAAACATTTTGAGAGTTTTCACAATGTTCCGAAATATACGAATCTGGATTAAAAATGGAGATACGCTGTTCACACAAATGGTGTTATTAAGTTGCCGATATAATTATTTGACCATAATCAACGATACGGATAACTTCAGATGACATCGACTGGAATATTGAAGGTATAACTTGGCCACGGAACTGCAAATGAAAAAATCCAAAATTTTGTCTTTACGACCTTTTGCTTTTAGGTCAGTCTCGATTTCTGAGGACAGAAATTAAAGGCAAAAGGTCATAGATGGTAACAAAAATTAAAAAATTTGTCATTACGACTTTTTGCTTTTAAGGAATTTTTCATTTCTGGGGACATAAGTTAAAGGCAAAAGGTCGTATATGCAGCTCATCATTAATCTGAAAATGTAGGTATTATAATAAGTTTCTCCAGTATTTTCACGAATAAGTGTAGAAAAAATGAGTGGAGATACGACCTTCTCGCTTTAAGAAACTCGGAAAGTAGCTTTTTGGCGTTTACGACCTTTTGCTTTTAGACACGCGATATGTTGAAGATCGATTATATAGATCGGAAAACGAATAATTAGTCCAAAAAATTTTGTTTTTATTGTTCGCTTGCCCGAAAACGCTTAAAATGCCAAAAACAGTCCAGGGCCTTCAATTTTTGAGTTACGAAGGATTTTTTTGTTCAAAATTTTCGGACAAATA